ATGATTAATCTACCTCAGCACGTTGCTGGGGACTCCTCCTATTTCTTGCTACAGGCTTCATTTTCAGCTGTAAGGGAGTGCGACGGGAAAACTTACAATCAGCTTAACAGCTTTTAAAATGCGCCATTCTAGAAAATAATCAATTAACTGCTCACTTATTTGTGAATACAAACTTTAAATATCTAGATCGTTAGATTAATCAATCCACAATTGGCGCAACGCATTCATCGTCGAGGCGAGAGAAGAAGGATGTTTGCGCGCAGACTTAAGACTCGAAGCTGGTGTCAGGTCTCTGCAATCCATGGGAAATAGTTAGGGTAGCTGAAAGCTATGTGTTTGTAAAATAATGCACTACCTAAAAGTTAGTGTTAAGATCTTTCGAGTGTTTTGGTTTGAGAGAATGAAAGTTATGAGAGGATGTATGAAAGCTAGGAAAACTAATCAACCGAGAGAGATCCACAACCAAAGATACGTAGATCTGAATCTCCGAGGGAGACTGTAGAGTGGATAGAGTAGGTTGCGGTACAATCCTACTCACTCCACATCCAAAAACGGAACGCAGTGGAAGATCTCTAGAGCTATTACTAGTACGTGGAAGTACCCCCTGGCTAAATATCAGACGCGATGTTTCATATCAACCTATAGTATGACTAAGCGTCATTGAGAACCCTGCTCTCAATGACTATTCACGAGAGACTCAGTCATGAGTCGAACTCAAACCCTATCTAGGATCGAGTCGCGAATAAGGCTAAGAGCCGTGATGAGTCGAACTCAAACCCTATCTAGGATCGAGTCGCGAATAAGGCTAAGAGCCGTGTATTGCAATAAGCTATCTACATATGTTAGCTACCGGTAGCTAAGGTAGTAGGGGTGGAAAAAGTGCTCTGATGCTTTGGGCTTGTTTGGTTGAGCTCTGGCGAGTGCTACATGTATTAATGGCTCCCGCCACTTCACCCCCAAGAGCAGATTGTAGTCTGCCTCGAAGATGTGTATCACTCGCAAGCGGTGTATTTTGCAACCACCCTCATCCCTTGGCTGCATCGTTATCATTCTTGATCAATGGGTGGAGACCACCTGGAGGCTTCGTATTCCAGCTCCTCCATGTAGCAGATGGCAATGGCAGATCTCCCCGGAACCGACCCAAATTGCCTTTAGTTGATGATCCCCTCCTTAGTTGCGTGGTGGAGCAATTCTCGCCACTTGAGTCCCAGAAGCAAATTATAGTCTGCCTCGAAAATATGGATAACTCTCAAACCGTGGATTTTACAGCCCCCCTCATAGGATGAGGGTATTGACGATTTTGTTCCACCGTGTGTAAGCAAACCCCTGTTCAAGCGCGAAGTTCAGCAGCCGAAAGTGGGCCTGCTTGATCTTGGCTTGAAACTCTGCGAGTTCCTTTCCTTCCTCAGAATCCGGGTCGAGACTGTGTTCTGCAAGAAGGAATTTCCAATGTCCGAGATGTTGTCCAGAGGGGGAGGTTGTAGTGCGTTCGTTCCAACTTTTGAGTTTGCCGTCAAACTGTTCCTCCGTCAGAGTGGCTGGGATTTCCCCATTGCATGCTCGGGTCAGCTGTCGAAGCAGCACTGCCGTGGCAAAGGAGGCTTTGAACGGGCAGATATCGTGATCACCGTCGAGGATAGCATCAGCAGTGGCAGTGGAGGCAGAGTAGTTTGTGTCTGTTTTCAGAGTCGGATCGGTTCTGAACTCTGTTTCCTCGGCTTGCCGAAAGTGTTTCTTGAGATGGGCCTGTAGATGCCGTTCGATTTCCTCCGGGTCTTCCACATACATCCAATCATTGCACTGTTTGGGAGGCACTGTGGGATCTCGTGGAACTTCCAAAGCTGTGAGCCCAGCGCCATTGCATTTACCTCTTGCATGTGCGCACTTTTGCCATGCTCGTCTTGCTTGCATTCGGTCCCCAATTGGCTCATTGTTGGCCAATAACCCTTTGATATTATCCCATGGGGTTGCATTTCGTCTTCGTCTAGTAGCAGGGAACAACAAGCAGCTTATGTTAGACTTCAAAAGACTATTTCAAGATGAATCTACAGAGCTTACCTGTGATGAATACCAACAAAGGAATCCAAAACCACAAATCGATGGGAGCTTTTGGTGACAGCACGTCTGATACACAGGGCCGGTACCAGTTTTTGTCCTACAAGAGATTTGCTTGATGGGAGCTGTCTAGCCCAGGATACAGTTGGGGTATTATCACACCAAGCTGCACAGTGCTTGTGCTCCTGCTCCAATGATGGGACAAGCTGCTTGAGTACAAGGTAGTGCAGAAGTAGCCCCACCATTTCCAGATCATTGACCGACAGCTTATTGGCTGTCACCAATTCAATCACTTCAGGAGGCCACCAATCCAAGAAAAGAAGAATGTGAGGACTCACTGTATGGAAGAGGGAAGTACACACTAATTTCGCGGGAAGGCTCACTAGATACTTACTAGCAATAGTATGGGCAGGGAGCGACAATGGTCGATCCTCAACATCGCAGGTAGGGGGAGAAGCGATTTGTTCCCTGGTTGACTTAGCCTCGACTGCTCAGTACAAACAGATCTCTGAGGATTTATTAGCTATCTAGTTAGCTACCGGTAGCTAAGGTAGTAGGGGGCGGAAAAGTGCTCTGATGCTTTGCGCTTACTAGCTACTAGCTAGTACTTGGTTGAGCTCTGGCCAGTACGGTACCTGGTAGCTCTGAGGAGGTGTGGGGTGTCATACCGCATGCGTATTTTATTTGCTTTATGTGCCTAGACTACTTCTTTAGAAGATACACGCAAGGATCGTGGACACAACAAGAAGATTTGCTGGAAGTACGCAAGATCGAACATGGATCTTCTTCCCTCCCCGTTTGATGATGCCAAGACCATCAGTGTTTTTGATCATACCTGCATGGATAGGGCTTGTGATGGAGAAGAGAAACCCGTCATTGATTGATTGACTGACTGAGCATTCGCCTACCGAGTCTGCATCGGAACAGTTATCAGTAGTCGTTGTATTGGCACCATGAGTCTCAACATCTTAAAACTCTACCAACAGTGTGCCTCCTACGGAAACTTCGGCAAGCGCATATTCAGTATTGCCTTTTGCACTCAGGCACCCTACTTTTGGACCATTCGTCCCTTTGTGGCCCAGCTGGAACCAGGCAAGACGGTGGTCACAATGCCTCACCGGAAACTAAGCAGCAATCATCTGGGAACACAGCATGCCATTGCTTGCTGTAACTTGGTGGAAATGGCCATGGGATGCGTCGCCGAAGCCACGCTGCCTTCTCATTTACGATGGATCCCACGAGGAATGGAAGTGAAGTATCTGGCCAAGGCCAATGGAACCTTGACGGCAACCAGTGAGATCGATCCGGTCACCTTTTTTGATCTGGAGGAGTACCCTGGAAATGTACAAGTACCCGTCGTTGTCACAGATGATCAAGGGAAACAAGTCGTCACCGCCAGCGTAGAGTTGTACATCAGTGAAAAGCCAGCCAGAAAGTAGAAATGCTAGTCAAGAAAGGAATAAGATAGTCTTATAAGGATGAGCTCTGGGTAGTAAACTAGACAAGAGAGAATGTCATACTATACAGAATATTAGTATATTTATACACTATTCATATTGACTTAGGCAGAAACCGCATTCGATTTCATCAGTCGGCCTGTTGCTGTTTCTTGATGGGACCGTTGGATGCAACCGCCCCTTGTAGTAGCATTTTCGACACTATATACACGTTTGCCGATATGATGGCGGATGGCGTTCAGTTTGTTCATGGTGGTGATTGATCCCTCCACAGCTTGTACAAGCTCCTTCCTTTTGCTTCAACACGTCGGCTAGGATCTGCTTCAGAGTTTGCAACCGGGCGGGTTTCCCGATGCAGTCATTCATTCCACAGTCTCGATAAAATTGCATCTCGGATGGCTGGTAGCTGGCAGTCAAGCCAATCACGGGGAGCAACGATTCACAGTACCCCTTGCTCCGCAACACCTTGGTGGCTTCGACTCCGTCCATCACTGGCATTTGATGATCTACCAGCAGGACGTCAAAGAGATTGCTCTTGTTTTCTTCGACAGCCGCCACGGCCAATGCTCCATTGTCAGCCAACGTAACAGTGTGTCCCATTCGCTGCAGCATGGCCTTGATGACCTTTTGATTCAACTTGTTGTCCTCGGCTACCAAGACGCGAAGGCTGGATGTGGATTCCGTCTGGACGGGTTGCTGACATGGCGTCGCAATGGGTTGCTGTTTCTCAACCACAGCTGCAGTAAAGGGAACCTCAAAGGATACCGTGGTTCCTTGTCCGAGTGCACTCTCTACTTCCATGGTGCCTCCCATGGCTTCCACGAGACTCTTGCAAATGGTCAAACCAAGTCCGGCACCGGAGAATCGACGTCGGTTAGCATTGGCTTGAGGTGACTGCTGCCCAAGGAGTTGTGCCCTCTCTTCGTTCGAGATGCCAACGCCTGTATCTGTCACTTGGAATCGAACGCGGGTATCCGCACTCTCGTCGGGGGTGTTGACCAGTGTCGCGGACAAGCTAACCGTTCCAGAATGGGTAAAGTTGATGGAGTTCTGAAGCAGTCTCAACAGGACTTGTCGCAGCCGGTTGGGATTGCCCAGTAGGGTGAGCGATTCTGCCAAACGTTCCCATTCGCAGGAGAGCGTCAGTCCCTTTTCCGTAGTTCTTGGCAGTATCACTTGTCGGCATCCCTCCAGGACACCCTTGACTTTGAACGGGATCTTCTCGAGGCTTGGAGAGTCAATCTTCTTGTATTCAATGATATCGTTCATGACAACCTTGAGTGACCACGATGCCGACTGCATCAGTTGGACGTACTCCAGTTGAGAGTCTGTCATGGTTGTTTCCGACAAAAGCTCGGTAAAGCCAATCATTTGGTGCAACGGGGTTCGTAGCTCATGAGCCATGACCGCCAGGAACTCTGATTTCTCTTGGTTGGCACGGTCAGCATCCTTCTTTGCCTGGATCACTTCTGTGGTATCCCGAGCACTGTAGAGTACCACTGGCTGACTGGTGACGGGATCTTTGCTTAGCCGCAGAGATATCGAGAACCATCTCAGACCATCTCGTTGGGTCTTTTGCTGAGCTTCGAGCGAGTAGTCCTTGTCTTGTAGAACCTTTTCCAGGGCTCGTTGGGCAATTCCGTGGTCGACAAATCGACTGGTAAAGGAACACAGGGACTCTTCATTGTCTGACAGCACGGCAGCCGGCGATCCAAACAGCTCCAACGACTCGGGATTTTGCGACATGAGTGTTCCTTCGAGATCAAACTGACACACCGCAACGGGGAGATGCCGGAGCATTTCGACCCCACGGAGCGCCTCTTGGTTCACTTCTTCTTGGATTGGTATCACACCTTCATTGAGCATCATTAAGCGACAGTCGCCATCATCTTCGTCGTCGTTGAGTACAGCAGTAATCCCGGATAGTGTCACGTCCACAGTGGTCGCCCCCTTGCCTTGTGGGTAATACGTCCACTGATCCGTCACGCTTCCTCCTTGTTGGAACTTGGCCAAGTACTCGGCCAAACGGCGCTCGGTGGACTCGCTCATGTCATGTGCAAAGTTCCGTTGGAGGAGACTCTCGAGTGACTCTGCATTCCACAATTCCAAGGCGCTTTCATTGGCCCACCACATGGCTTTGCCTGTGATATCAAATACCCACACAGGATGTTCCAACAAGTTAAAGATCTCGAGATCTTCACGCTTATAAGGTTTGCTGCTACGGTTCCGTCGGAGGCCCATTTTGATCTATCTAGGCATGGACAAGAAGAGGAAACAAGACAACTTATACCCAATGGTTGGAAACAAGAAGCAAGAAAAAAGGGCTTGAAATAGATTATGGACGGCCTTTCATTCAGACTTTTTGCGTGGTGATTCGCTTGGTCTGTTACCAATGAAAGAGTGCATGGGCCAGCTACGAGCTGCACTCTGAGTCTTCTAAAGTGGTGAAAAGCTCAAAAACAAACAAGCTTTGGCGCCAAAGCTGGAAGACGTCGTCAAAAACTGGAGGAGAGGGCAATGGAGTTGAACGAGCTGTTGAGCTGCTGTTGAAGGTCACTTGATGGGAAACAGCACCAGCTCAGATTTTTCGGCTGACGTGTACTTCAAGGTAATCTTGACAATAACTCTTAGTTGCACTTCAGATGTGTCAGCAGTTTCTCAGAGTTCATCGGCTGATTAAAGGAATTCGCATTTGTGCTTTTTCACTTGTGCCACCTATTCCAACTTGTTCATTATCGTGTCAGCTATATTGAGCTATTGTGTCCAGTGTCCAGTAAAGCAGAAGCAGTAAAGCTCCCGTGAAGTTGTGATGAGAAAAGCCTGCTCTTGTTAATTGAATTGTTTACCACTGTAGAGGGATGTAAAGGCTTTTCCACCGGATAGCTACTACAGCGCTACGACTATTGATGGTACCAGTACTGTAGCTAGCTGGAAGACTATGTTGTTGTTTCGGGGTGACAGGGGAATTACTAGCTACCAGGCAGGGTGGAACTCGAGTAGAAGCGGAGGCACAGCCCAAGAAGGCTTTGTAGCTAGCTAGCTAGTAGGGTGTCTAACACGAGATATAAGCTATTCTGTTATCGGGGCTCAACCATTTGGGCCAAGACGAGATCAATGGTTTTGAGACTGTGATATGGACGAAGCAGTCGCAGCAGTAGTGCTATCATCAGTGACAGCTTCGACTTGAAGCTTGGGTGAACACGAACCGGAACCAATAACCGCGCAAGGAATGCCACCTGGAATCACTGGGGGAATCACTGGATGAGCAACGAAAGGGCGTGGTATAGACAGGCCTCGCATTTGGTTCCTGTGATCATGAGCTGGTGGGATGGTGGCACAGACAGGCTGTGGCGGGTTGTTGAGCCATAATAATGTTACCCCTACTACCTTTCTAATTCCTGAGCAGTTTGAATTCGACAGTGTTCGACACTCCCACCTTGAGAAACCTCTTTCTTCGACACTACTAGCTACCGGTACCTTTACCGTAGCTAGTATGCTGGTATGATTAGTATGATACAATGTATCAACATTTATTTAGAACAGCTCATCAACGCACTCATAAATAAGTCTTGTACGTTTGAACGTCAGACATGTAGGGCTCATGTAATAACTACCGGTATGCCGACTCGGCCAAGTCGCTACGCAGCTGTACGCACAATAACAAATAACATACTACCGGTACTATTAACTATTAATAGTAGTAATATATTATGTTGTCTGGTAAACCGGTACCGCATCGTACGTCGTACGGTACGAATTAATTTTAAAAAAGCTTCAGAGATCCTGCATCCAATCATATTTCAGTGTCCGAAATAAGGATTTATTTCTACTGTTTACTCTTTACCCTTTCGTGTTTGAAGTTCTTTGCCATTTTAGCTGGGTGTGTGCCCAATAACAGCTTCCTTTCTTTACTCTCTGACGACTTCCGATGACTTCATTTCACCAATTTTACTTAACGGAAAGACAAAAAGAACAAGTGGAAAAAGTAAATCTACTTTCTACCTCCTCTAACTTTTTTGAGGTAGATGAGGTAGATTTACCTTTTACTCTATACTGTTTCACTTTTTAAAATAGTGAAACTTTCGCAAGAAAAAGTGAAACTACATAATGTAAAGAGTAGAAAAAGCTTATTGCGGACACGGTATTCATGATCCAACCTCTTCGGAACCGATGTCAAGCCACACAAGGAGCCTCAATGATCTAACTAAGAGTATGAGGGCTGAGATATGTGTGATTATTGGTAATTGGTATTATTTGACAAAACATCACGGATCTGGGAAGACTGCACCGACACAAGATACGCGCAATGCTCCTCCCTCCTCCCGGCAGCTTGCAGCAAGTGCCCTCGTCGTTTGGCCATCACGAAGAGATTATTTAGTTGTTGCATTGGTTCGATGCAAGAGTGAGTTTGACGTCAGTTACGTGGAAACATTGCAAAGATCCAAGATACAGCAGCTGCCCCTTGCTCTTCCAAGTGCCCTTTTGAGCTGGTCATCCCCAAGTGATTAGTTGTTCGATGCAGGATGTGTGTTTGACGTCACTTATGAGGAAGATTGCAGACATATCGGTACTCCGAGTAGCTTCCTCCCCCGAGTACAAGATCGCTGTACATCGTACCCCAAAGCCCAAAGGAATGTTGGCTCCTCCCAGCAGCTGCTCCTTGCTCTTTCAAGCGCCCTTGTTTGCTTCTGCTGGGTCTGGTCACGTTGAAGCGACTAGCCAGCTACTCTTGAAGCTCTCTTGAATGATAGTTGGTTCAATGCAGTGAGTTCCCATTTTGCAGAATCTGATCACTCTTCAAGCATTCTCAACGGCTATCTCAGATACTGCACAAAAACTAACGCGTCAAGATTCTTTTGAAGTTGCAGAGTGGTAGACAGCCAATGACGAAGACGCTCCTTCTCGTGATGTAGCTCGTAGCCTTTTTGTCGCTGTTGAAATCGTCAGTTTTCTGCTGTACTTGCTCGTTGCTTTTGTGTTGCGTTTATTCATTCATTCATTCGTCAGGAAAATCATAGAAGAATCCGCAATCATAGATTGTTTGGTCATATTCGACGGAATATCCACTTCGTGTATTGCACTGATAGTTGAGCGTCAGCGATACAATATGATGAAACCAATACGTTGGCAAGTACAAGACATCCCCTGCTGTGAGCACCACTTCGTTGATGGTGGCACGCCAAAAGTTGGGAAAGCTGTCATTCAAATTGACTTGTTGTGACCAATCCACCCGTGTGTGTCGTTCCAAGGGATGCTTGGGAGGATACAGGTACAAATTTGGGCAATTCTGGGGATGTGCCAAGAGGAATCGTCGTTCTCCCTTGAGCATGGCAATGTAGTTGCGTTCATTGTCGAAATGTGCTTCGGCCGTGAGCCCTGGACTGGCAAAGCGACATTGTATCCCTCTCGCCTTTTCGATATCAATGGGATACAAGGACTTCGACGAGTTATGATTGTTGTTGTTGGGATGAAAAAAGGGTAGATCGTTGTAGATAAAGTCGGCATCATCCAGCTCATTGGGGTTGCCGCGGTAGGTGGAATCACAGTTCTTGTCGGGAAGACAGGCATCCAGGCGTAGATAGGCGTATTCCTGTTGCTTATGGTTGTTGTTGTGGCTGGATCGTTGTGCACGCGTGTACCATTCCGCATAGGTCATGGGAACATCGCGTGTGGGTGATACAAAATGCTCTGGTATGTTGTTCCACTCTGGATTCGTATTGAAAAAGGTTACAATGGTGGTGTTGGAGAGAGTCGCTTCAAAGCGTTTGTCTTGCAATTTTCGAGATAGATATCCGTTTCGATTCCACAACTCTACTGACTGCAACACGGCTGGATCATTGCGGACCACAAAGGGGACTTCAGCGGCTCGGTAGTTTTGAATCTGGTTTTCAATGTCTTCTCGTGAAATTCCTCTTTTGACAGCAGCCGTCACGTCAAAGACGCAGATTCCTTGGTAGATTGTTTTGGGAGGGACCAAGACAGTTACGTTCCAGTTTCCAAGGACCTCCAAAATGGGGTATTCTCTGGGGTAGTTCTCTGGAGGCAGCTCGGGGCAGTGGAATATATCGTAGGAATCCGATGGTTGCTGGACGGGTTTCGGTTGGATGTGATGATAATGACGTCGAAACAGCAGTCGTCCACGGGGAACCACCATTCGAAGAAACAGCACGATGCATGGCACCATAATGGCAAGGACCAGAAGGAGCTTGACGACAGGTTGCAACTTCCTCCACAATCGCCCTAATCTTTCATGTCGCCCAAACCATCGAAAGCTCTTATTATTAATATTAGTAGTGTCCCTAGTCGTACCAGTAGTAGACTTGCCATCAGCCCCCGTCCCCCCTCGGTTCCAAGATCTCCCCAGCCCCAAAATTGAACGACGATGTCTCATCTAGCTAGATAACTACGGTAGGCGTTCAACCCAGCGGGGGGGAAAGGATCCGCAGTTCAGTGCAACGACCTGCTGTCCAAAAGGAGTGGCAACACTCCGCTGTATCATACATACCGGTACATCATGATGATGTGTTGGAGCGCTAAAAAGGAGAGAACTCGAGAAGAGACAAAAGATCTCGAAGAGGTTCCGCGTAGAAAGGCTGGCTTATGCTCTTACACCGTGTCATGAGAGGCGAGAGAAACACCGTGGCGAGCGCAAAACACTCTCCTATGATTGAATCTTCAATCCTTCGATCATTCGGTTTGCGACTTTAGAACCAGCTACCTCTATCAGATGGCTCTAGCTAGGTGCGACGAAGAGGTGAAGCACCTCCACAGCTAGTGTGTTTCACCAACGGTAGGTTGGTGTGGTTTTGAACCCACTCCCATACGGTAGTACCGGTAGCTCTCATGGATAGCAGCTTCTTTGTCATTCAGCCTCAGAGTCCGATCCATACCGGCAGCTCACAATCGCAATAGAAACGAGGAACGAGGAATCGCCAACTCGAGGATGTGTAACTCTTTTCGAATGCAGCCCACTACTATGCATAGCTACGGTACCTATATCACCACAGATTACATTTAGAGACTGCAACACATCATCACATCACATCACCCAACAAAAAAGAGGTTCACATGGCCAAATCCTTCTGGCCTCGCAAAACATTGGATCTTGCCAGTACAAAAACGTTCTCCAACATTCATCGTATTCCACATTTCCAAATTCAGCCAGCCAACGGTTCCAGTTCCGAAACCAATGACGGGCATTCCATCAGGGCAAACCAAAGTGCCGATAACATGACCAGATCCTTGCGTTTTGTTCCCAAACGTGAAAGGACATCGGGTGGTGGCTGTTCCTGCCAATCCAACAGCAGCTGTAGCACCTGACACCATGTCCCACCTGACCACTCATCTTGCGACAGGAGTAAATGACGGACTTGATTGCGCAGTCCAAAAAAAGACAAATGCGTGGATCCAGACGAAGCGGGATGCACACGAATGCTTTGAAGGGTTGTATTGGCTCGAAAAACTTGCACCACTTTGGCATTCGTCTCGTGGGTACCAGGAAAGTCCAGCTCCAGAGACGTTAGTTGAGGCGCATCCGAAAGCATTTCCACAAAGCATTCAAGGGTTGTCACGTCCAAGGCTTCGTCACCAGACACAGAGAGATGCTGCAACCGAGTGTTGACGGCAAAGTTGTCTGAGAGGACGTCCAACTGGTAGGGTCCAGCTCCCAGATCCAATGTCAAGCTCTCAAGGATGCACTTGGGATGACCCAAGAGTTCTACCAGCTTGTGCAATCGATAGGCTTCCATTTGGGGACCCGCCAACACTTGGAGTTGTCGCAAGGAAGAGTCGAGATTGTCGATGACCATGGCTTGATGGATCGTGTTCAAGGCATGAATGGTGGTAGCACAGGTGTCCGGGGTGGAGTATTGCAACACCAACTGTTCCAAATTCGGATTCTGGACCATGGCCTTGATCATGGTCTCCACGTCTGTCATGGAGCCTTTGCAGTCAATGAGTTTGACTGTGGATAGTTTCAAGACATCCGAAACGGCAGAGTTTAGGTTGTCGAGCTCTTTCACGGAACATGGGCTCCAGAATGGCGACGACGCCCCAGGGAAGGAACAGACACGCAGCCTTTCCAACGTGAGCTCCTCAAGGATAGATTGCCCTTTGAGCAGAAATGTGAGACAACCCAAATCTTCCGTGTAATGTACACAGTCTCGAATTGTGAGATTGGATATCGAGCTCTGTTTTTCATCCATGACCAGGTACACCAGATAGGTCATGGCTCGGTGAAAGAGACGTGATTTTTCAATCTCCACATTCTTTGGATACCCTCTTTCAGTTTGTTGTTCCGAATTTGGTCCTTCTTCACAATTGCAGTGCGAAACTACCCGAGGGCACTGTCGTTTGCAGGCCGGAACACAAGGACAGGATGCCTGTGGCAATTGCATGTTTTGCAGAATCACAGAAAGATGTTCTGGATCCATTCCAGATAACTTTAGAGTTTCCACAGAATGAAGCGTCCGAAACGCTTTTCCCAAGTCTCGTAGTCCTTGTTTGGAAATGGATTCTTCACCGGAACATGCAATGGTAAGGCTTTGCAAGGTCTCGGATGATGCTAGCGTGTTGCAAAACCCAGCAATATTTTCTTCTTGAGAGAGGCACCCCAAATCAATGGTGAGTTCTTCCATGGTTCCTTTAGCCGTGACAGCTTCCAGCAACGAAGAAACCGTATTGATACCCACCCGAACATGGTTGTTCTGTGGTAGAGCCCATCCAGAAAGTCGTATCTTCAGGTTGCGAAGGTTTGGGAAAGATTGGACTGCTTGGATACAGGATTGTTGTTCCTCTGCCGTATCCACAATGCAGCTCATTAAATCCACACGGAAAGTTGTATCAGTCGCCATGTTCTTTGAAAAAGATACTCGACAGGACTTCTTCTGCCCTAGAAACCAACTTGAAGGCCCAACACAAAAAGACCACAAAGAGATTCTTGTGATTCGATTCCGATATTCTAGCACTACCTGGTACCGGTAGCCCTCACCAAAACTTTGCCAACGAGACTTGCTTTGCCCTTTTATGAATACTCACTCATCTGTTGAAGGAACTAGATTGTTCCTTCTCGGCGTCATCCAACTTGATTTGTTTTCTGAGAAAAGAATTTGGAACAAGTTGGAAGAATCTTTTGACGATGAGAAGAGTTAGTTGATGTTGTGGCGAAAGAAGTTAGTTGATGTCGTCAGTCCATCCAGTCATCCAAAGAAGACATAAATGAGGCAAAAGATTAAGCCAGCAGTCGGTGTACCGGTCCCTTTCCCTCCTTCCGGCATGGAGGTTGACGCACCAGCATTTGCAAGAACGATGGCAAGTTTGACTTTTCGGACTTGAAGTCCACCGCAATGGTAACTGGCATGCAGTGCGGGCCCCGTCCAGGGACCCTAGCTAAGATGACGCATCTTGGGTATGCTACCCGATACTCCTTGTCTCGTATCTACGAGTAGCCTGCGGCAAACCTTGCCCCACTCGATCCCGATTGCAAGACAATGGATGAGTGGACTGCTGCACAGGCAGACGATGCCTCTGGCTAATAGTGGTTCCCCCGAAGCGACTCTTCCTTCTAGTCTAATACAAGGATGCATGTTCTAGAACTTATCAATTGCAGCAAAAAGTGAGTATTCTAAATATAATTTACTGGGATTGACAGAGACAAGCCTTCAGGCTGGAGTTCTGGTGCCGAGTGCACTATTGAATTCTTCTCGCCACGCTTGTAGCCTTCGCTTTCTGTTCTAAAACGAAGTGCATCATTCCTGGTTACACAGAAGAACCGTCCAACCAAATGACCACCCACACTCATTGCCATATTTTTTAATATTGTTCAGTATACACTTCTAGCTTTTTGCACTGCCTTGATTTGTTCATCTCGATAGGCGCTGGACGCTCGACTGCCACATTCATATTTGCAAATTTGGCTGGTTTTGAATTGTTTCAATTGAGCATCTGGCTTTTCAATGACAATCGCTCTGTCGTATTGTTTAAGTCGTTCACTTTCCACTTCATTAAGAACAGCATAAACTTCCTTTTTGCTCTTGTAGGGTGCTCCCTTGACAATTTTGGTGGCTACGGTGGGGTATAGCCCAGGAAAGGCAGTGTATTCACGGGCCAAAGCATTGTTGACGTCCATACGAGAAGGAATACCGGCAAGTGCGACTGCGGGCATTGTTGCCAGAGGGATGATCAAGGCCATGCTTTGAAGGAGATCACGTCGACTGGTATGGAATGAAGAAGAAGAATCTTCCATGGAAGCCCAAAGTGGACGGGATTTCTTGCTCCCAGTACCACAGGATCGTCGATCACAGGTCAAAGCTGTTCTATCTGTACCAGTAGTGGCAGTAAAAGCATGGCTTGAAGCCCAACAAATGGCCGCGATCAGTGTTAAAAGCCTCATCTTTTCCTCTCTTCACAATCCTCTTTCCATAAATATGGGTTGGCTCGTCTCTATCTCTTGCTCTCTTGACAGCTCAATCGTAGCGATGACACCTTCAACCCGGTTCAAAGATTTTCCTGACGGTACCGGTAGGGTTAGAGCTTGATACGTACCGGATCTTTTTGCAAAAATAATCGTGCGATCTTTTCTGAAACCACGACTTAGTTCGACTCATTCGACTAGCTATTAACACTAGTAGCTCAACTCAATGGTGACAAAGCCAAGAACCAACCCCTTTTGCAACCCCAAGTTGGTTGGTAATCAATCTACGGGACAGTATCCACTTCCCCCACTTTCCGCTCGTTGACACGATCGATGTCGATGCTTCTGCGGGTGCCAACTCATCGTCGCTGCTCAAGCCCAGCTTCCTTTTTGACCGTTGTTCTGCTGTACTGCTTCTTCTATTTGTCGCACGAAATCTTCTCAGTTTTCTTTGGAAAGAGGAAGGCGCTAGCTAGAGAACCGACATCTCCGGATACATTCTTTCATTAGTCACCATGAAGAACGCTGTCATCGCTACCCTCCTTTCCCTCTTCTTGGTCTTGAGCCTCTCCTCGGCCGCGGATGTGGCTGAATTGCGTCGCCTCCGTGCCCTGGGATGGCACAATGGAGGTAACGGCGGCGGCGGTCATCACGGCAATGGGCACCACGGTGGAGATAATGGACGTGATCATCCCAACAAGTACAACAACAACATGGGGAACCCCGTTCCTGCTCCTTTGGACTCTGCCGTCGGCGCTGAAGCCGTCGGCGTTGGAGAAACGCTGGGAATTGAATCTGCCGCAGACCCAGTCCCCGCTCCAGCTCCCTTGGAGTCATCCGCTCAGGCACAAGCTTTGGAGTCTAGCGAGAGCACCTATTCCTGTAACATGTCCAAGGGAGCCATTATTGCCGTAGGTGTTGTGTGTGGTATCATTCTTTTGGTCGGTTTCTTCTGCGCGTTCTTCTCTGGCCGTGATGGTACCACTCAGCAGAGCTCCAAGAGCGCCATGGCCGCCACCAAGAGTGTCGCGGTGCCCACCAAGGAACAACCGGATGAAATTTCTTTGGAAGATATGACGGCTGCTTCCGAGCCGTCCGAGGCCTAATCTATGAGCGTCGCTGTCTGATTCATTCCGTGGCTCGCACCTTTTTTTATGTTGCATAACTAGTTGGACAACCATGGCATTAGTGCGAGAGTTTTCTTTCGCACTGACATGGTTAAAATTAGCATTAAATTTTGCCTTTCATCTAGTAAAGCCAAAGTTTCTGGGTATCTACCCTCGTAGGCATCCTCAATTTCCTCCGGCTATGAATCGGCTACGAAGGTAGAACAGCACTTCGCCGAGAACATGACCTGGCTGGCCTTGAGCTCGTAGTGATTGTGTCCACTGGGGGTGTAGTGATCGATTTGCATCGGTGGGCACCGCAGTAGTGCTCTCGGGCTACTAGCTAGATCAGAAATCGAGTAAGGTGGTTGAGGCCTTTATTAATAGATGCTCCGTACACCAAGATGAGAACACTGATTGCTGTACTACATACCGGTATGCAGACGTGTGGTTTTGGGTGAGGGGATCCAGACGTTTACCCCTACGTGTTACTCTCCCTATGCAGGGATTGGAAGCAACTAGATTGTCAATGTAGGAAGTTGGCTTTGGCATCGAATTTCTTTATCGGATTTGTGAGGCTCCATGAAAGGATCGTATCCTCTTCGAAACGAGGCTTGTCTTTTTTAAAACTTACACTTCAAGCGCACTCTTCAATTTTTTTCGCGGTGGTCTTCCTAGGAACTTCAAGTAAAAACGCCCACGTCCACGAAGCACAACCTAAGTTTGCGCCGCCGTGTCTGACTGTTGCTACCGGTATTCAGCACGATGTCAATGTTGGGTACGTCTGGGGGCAGTGGACTAGCAGCTACCGGTATTCAGCACGATGTCAATGTTGGGTACGTCTGGGGGCAATGGACTAGCAGTAGAGAAAACAGAACAAGCCTACTTTAGCCAAGCTGCGAGAGCGAAATGTCGCCAACTGTGTAGCCTGTGGCTGGTTGCTTCAACAGGTCTTCAACCAGTTTGAGATCCGAGCATTCTGTTACAATTCTTGGATGAACTGTTTCGGTTTTCTGACCTCACACCCCTCCGGTAGGCATAATCTAGTAATGTTGGAACAAAAATTTTGCTGTAACGAGAGCGAAGTCATTGCTTTATGCGCCTGATCAGTCACTCACCCTATCGACGAGCTAGCTAGCTGGCACCATTTCTTTGGCGCCCAGTCGGTTTCCTCGGACATCAAAGAACTGCGACTGTCTGGGTAGCTACCGTAGGCAATCTGCAGGAACACGTCCCGTACAACTGGAGCGTTCCTCAATCGTGCATGCCTTAACAAAAACCGACCCTATTTTTTGGGACGGATTTAGGGACGGGTTCCCTTTAGGGTCGGGTTTGAAACCCGACCCTAAAAATAGGGACGGTTTCTGAAAAATAGGGACGGTTTCTGAAAAAACGTCCCTAATTTAGGGACGGGTTTCGATTTAGGGTCGGGTTTGAAAAACGTCCCTAAATAGAAACGGGACTGAATGGTAAATACATTGAAAACGCACCAATATTAGGGTGGGGTTTGAAAACCGACCCTAAAAATAGGGACTGTTTCTGAAAAATAGGGACGGTTTCTGAAAAAACGTCCCTAATTTAGGGACGGGTTTCGATTTAGGGTCGGGTTTCGAAACCGACCCTAATTGAGTCGGATTTAGGGACGGGTTTCCCTAAACCGACCCTAAAATAGGGTCGGATTTAAAGGTCATGCACGATTGAGGAACGCTCCTGTATCATTCAGATGCCTGTTGCTGGCTCCTGACTCCTGACGAGATTTAGGGGGGGTCAGGCACCAGCGCGGGGGAGGGAAAAGAAAAAGAAAAGGGAGAGGGTTAGTGATTGAGGTTCCCGATTCCCACTTGGAGAGCAGGCAGGGCAAACTTCCAGACGCAAGGACACCAATTTACTTAGAGAACTGTGGGGAGATGGCAATGACCGGACGAAAACAGTCATCTCCCCTCTCTCAAGTAACGATGTATCATGTCTGAAGAACAATAAATACGTCACAAAAAGCATCATCTCGGTGGTCTCACATTGGCTCCATCCGTTTTGAATCAAATCAACGACTACTGTCTGGCTGGCTCTTTCCCTTTCCTTCGCTCGCACCAAACCTTCCCATAAATTCGAATACTTACTCCACAAGGTACCCGTAAGAATGCTGCTGTTGTTGTCCGTGTTGCTGTTGTTGTTGTTGCTGTTGTTGTTGTTGTTGTTGTTGTTATCCAAAATGGCGACAATGGCATGCTACTAATTGTTGTCCTTCTATCCTTCCACTACCGATGCTCCTTGCTGTACGGACGCTCCTTCCTCTACCGACCCTTCCTGTACGGACGCTCCTTCCTCTACCAACGCTCCTTCCTCTACCCATACAACAACAACTACTACTACTAAAACAACAACTTGCTGGGCTATTTTGTCTTGAAGTCAGTGCCTACGTGGGTAGGGGCAAGGCTCTTGGCAACAACAGTAGCTCACACGAAACTCGCCACTACACGAAAGTCGCCACTACACGAAACTCGCCAATTCAGACCGAAACAGCACGACAATGAGGATCGCAACTACTTCTTCCTTCTCAAAGTGGCTGCTTAGTGTAAACAGATACCCATTGAATGAGCTGAGGGCCACAAGGAATGGATTCACTTGCAAGTACATCATTGTGGAAGAACAAGAGCCCCACCTCACCAACTATCAGAAGTTTCATTGTTGGCCCACAAATGAAGTGCCGGATCTTGAGGAGTTGATATACCAAGGAGGATGCAAGCCTCTTCCTCCAGACATGACAAGCATCATGGATTACATGTTTGAGTGGGGTCTTCAGAAGAGTCCAAAATGGTACCACCATGTTCTCTACACCCTTTCTGGAATGCTGGATGGGCCAGAAGCATGCCAAAGGAAGGACATCTTCATTGAGTGCATCTATTGGTTAGTGAGGGAAACTATTGCCAAGAGCTATGACTTCTACTCCAAGCAAGGACAGATTGTTATGGATGCTTGGCATGGGTATTGTTGCCACTGGTATGACTACTGTTGGAGGTTGTATTACAGACACCTCAATACAAATTAGTCGTTTATCCCAATCTAGTTATAGGGGATATCTATATCTATTCTCTAGTTACATACATGGGGAGTTTAACTGATCTATATGGTCACCCCCTTCACTATATCCTTTGAAGTTGAATCAATCCCAAAAAAACATGGAGAAAGATCACTTCTTGGAAATAGCTTAACAGTAAAACAGTATTTTACCTTTACTAAGCTAGAGTGTTACTAGAAACCAACACTATTTCCAAGAAGGTCTACCTTCATCTCGAATTCGAGATCTCGCCAATGGGATATTGACTATCTATATTGACTATCATCTCTCTCTCGAACTTCATCTCGAATTCGAGATCACGACCATGGTGATATCGACATCAACCATTGAGTTCATGCTATAAGGTAACCAGTTCAACAAACAGTCGATAGTGCTGGAGCCCCACTATAAGGGCTATCCAAAGAGCCTTGCAGGAAAAAGGCAACATCACGAAATCGTGCCTCACACATTGAGCTACAGAGCGACTGACCGATCCACTTGGAACCGGAACAAAATAAGAATACTGGCGGACAGAGGAGACCGAACTGATCAAACCGCATGTTTGAATCGTCTCCATACAACAGGAGTTGAAAGAGCTACGGTCGTCCGAGTTGCAGCCAGCTTTGAGCTACGGATCAAGGAAGCAAGCTCACAGGAGTGAGCGAATACCGGAACAGCTACAGCGCACCGGAAGCGAGCTCACAGGAGTGACCTACGGAACGAGATCAAGGATCCTGCAGTCGTACCGTACGAACGCAAGAGTGGCGACAAGAGTTGCCACGAACACCAAGCTCACAAGAGTGAGCGAGCGAACATCAAGATTCGAGCTGCGGAAACAGCCATTGTATGACTGGAGATACACTACCGTATTCCAGTGCCAATACGAAAACAAACTTCAAGAGCGACGACTCATCGCTCGACGAAGTGCACGAGTGGTGCTGGCCAAGCTATCTTGCTAGCTAGAAGTCCAACGAGAACGAAAGGCTTCCGGTGAATGCAACCGGAGGCAAGGCTACTGCTATCAAGCCAACAAGAGCAACACGACGAGTGTCAACCAGGAGTGTTGCCACGGAAGAGGAACTAGATAACAAGTTCCAACAAGAAGAGGAATTACCACAGAGGTACTTCCGTGGGAGAGTTCCTATCCTCAACAAGAGAGCCATCGAAATAGGCTACTAGAAGAGAGGTGCGAAGGAAAATTCCAACGCACAACAAGACGAATTACCAGGCCGATTACACGGCAACGGCAGGTCCTACGGCAGGACTGTCATACAACAAGGTGTCCTTTGAGCAACAGAGGACAAGGCCTGAAGAGTGCAAGACCTGGTAGCCAACCAGGAACGAGTTGCATTCATAGGCAACAGGCTGGATAAGAGCAAATTTGCGAGCGAATTCCACCAGCAAACAAGAGTGATCGAACGGCCGAAGCTGAGGCTACTGCTACAGCTACACGAACGACGCTACGGCGACAACAAGAACAACGGTGGCTACCACTAGCCATCCGCTACAGCGACAAGAAGAACAAGAACGCTGACCGCTACTACTAGCCAGTCGCTCCTCCTATTAATGCCAACAAGAAGACAGTCATCGGTCGACGACACCGATAGCAACAACAGCAAGACCGGCAGCGACATTGTGCCGATCGACAACAGTGTCGGCAACTGCTGTCGGCAGAAGAAGACTTTGCTTTTTGTGAGGAAATCGCTGACAGCAATGCATGCAGTTCCACGGAACGGAAAAGAACACGCCCAAACAGTCCAGCGAACAGCAGCTTGTGGCTGCTGAACGTCACAACGTAAAAGGTATCTTTCGGGATATCTTTCCAGGAGTGTACGGAGTCAGATCAAGATCTCTCCATACGGCACATCGGCAGTGTACACCAAGAGCATGCTGTTACCGGTACCGACAAGCTACTGGTACAGTATGCCATGCAAAATAGCTCGCT